GTTCACGGTAACATCACGACCATTACCGTCTTCGAAGAAGTAAGGGCCAATGATGCAAGTTTGCGATACAGCGCAACGAACCGTTACTTTTGGGCTGTGCAGCGGTCTTTCGTGTACATAACTGTTGCGGATTTTCATTAGCCCAATAACGACAATTCTGCTGGTTAACCATGCTGTTTAGGAGAAAGTGGGCTTCGTCACTCATAAACAAAATGAGGTTCTCATTTTGATCGATCAGTGCTTCCATCTCACGTGCGAAGTTCATTCGTTGTGCATAATCTCCGGGCTGTAACTGTTGCACAATGGCCAATTTGTAGGGGTGAAAGCGGATATCCATATGCAAAATTCGCCTTACCGAACGATCACTAAGGCGAAGTACAGCAGCAGGTTTCCGGGCAGATTGAGTCGGACTGCGAAGAAAGACCTGTCTAACGCGTTCAACATTTTCAGGAGTTCGAACTCTTCGCGGCGCTCCTCTTGGTCTTCTGTTGATCAGTTCACCACGCCTGCGAAGTGATTCAACCCAACGAAGGATGGTGTTTCGAGAGGGAACAGCTCCATTCCGATGAATGTTGAAGTGGCGACGAAACTCACGCTGTACGACGATGGCTGACTCATTATTTTGGACGAAACAATCATAGGCGAAAACGCGGTGCTCCACCGTCCCAGGGCTTCATAACGACAACTGGTAAAATAATGCTAGGATCTCACGAGTTAAACGGCATCCTCCCCACCTCTCTCGTAGACGGGGGCGGAGAGTACTACCCATCCCAAAAACGTCCGTCCTCTCTGCCGCACCAGGTATAACCGCTACTGAATGCCCCACGTTTTGTCTTTCAGAAAATAAGTTACCTCTGGTAGCCCTAGTATCTTACTCTATGCGATTTTAGGTTCAACTGATGGATAAAAATGGTATCAAGTAGCTTTACTCTTCATTTCCTACGCGACGCCCTTATCAGTACGTAAATATGTTCAGCACAAACTAGAACATCGGAGAAAGAAGTTAGGCAAACAGGTCCATACAATTAGTCCATAGACATTCTTTCCCTGCCCTACCGGTAGTGCATCCAGTCGCCTCTACCTAACTCGGGCGGACGTGGCACCGTAGTAGCATAGAAAACACTCATCACGGTCGGCGTACGACGCCAGCAGCAGCCGCGGCCGATTCAGTTTCCAGGGCTAATAGTCTAATATGTGCGTAAAATTACCAATGCTGAGAGCGTATAAATATAGCAGCATCAAAAAATTCAGAAAACCCTCCCCACCCCAATTTTTATTTCTCTCTCTCTCTCTCTCTCTCTCTCTCGGCCGCCACTAGACCGATCTTCAAAAAGCTTTTGCTTTCTTACCATAGCAGTATAATAATGTAAAAATTTTATCGGAATCCGAGTTATAGTCAGTTATAAGATTGGTGGACAGACAGACCGCAGACAAACCGCAGACAGACACACCCACGGAAATGAATGACATGATGTTTTGTGATGTACATGATTGTCATATAACATCCAAAAAACATAATATCTCATGTACGAAAATTTTCGCAATTAAAATACTTCCCCACCAGTAAGTGTGGGAAATAAACAATTAAAATCCATAGAATGTCTCAGAAATGGTAAAAGATAATACGTAACTACATATTTTCTCTGCGTTAAGAGATACGAACAAATTATAAAAAACTTGTAAGGAGATCGGCGCATCTATTTTGTTAGACCACTGATACAGCCGAATGGTGCTTCTTGTAAATAAATTCTCGCCGGCTTCAGTTTTTATTGTAATAGGAGATTACATATGACTGGTCTAAGATGGCTATCCTTAAAAACACTGCGAGGTTGCCACACAGATACTGAGGCAAATAGTTTTGCACTATTATTCAATAGTTGCTGATACAATACTAGTTCTTCCAATACTGTTGAGTATCAGAGTGTATAGCTCCTGGCAAAAATGTATTGGTCCTTTACAGGCCATCCAAAACATCATTCCGTGCACCATTTGCAACGTATGGGGAATATACGAGTAGCTATATAACGCCTTAGCCAAAAAGGTATAGTTAGGCACTGATAACGTTCAGGTCTCTCGTTAGAGAGAAAGTCGCTGCTAATCTTCTTTTTTGCAGCTCACCGGCAGAGATCGGCTTGTCACTCTGAATTTTTGCATGTATTTCATTCTGAAACTCAATTCCACTACATCAGAATGAATAAGGTTTATGGTGTAATATTTATGCTGCAGTACAATTCCAAATAAATTTAAATTTATTTATCTGTCCAATTTGTTTATGTTGAACACACAGTAATGGAGTTATCGTAATTATGGTGTCACATAAGGACTCCATTAATATTAATTTATAGGTGGGTTATTGGTCAATATAATGTGTATAACTTAATTGATATTAACGTTTTGTGGGTTATTGGCATTTCTATCTAAAGCTTAAGTTTATGACATAATTTTTTATCAAGATATTAAGTACTAAAAATGTAACTTTTAAGCTGCTCCCTTTCGTTAGCCTCTTTCTACTGACGGCTCGGAAGAGACCAGTCGTCATGGTTGAGAACTGTGTTCTCTATTTTTGAGGCATGAGATTGTTCTTCCAGTACCACGTTTTCCTTTAATTTCTCTTTCCTCATTATATCATGCAAATATTCCAGATCTCAAATTTCTACCGTTTTTAGTATTATTGTCGTCTTTTTTTTATTCTGCCGAGGACTTCTTACTTGTAGCTTTGTTTGAAACATGTTCTACCTACTGGATTTTAAGGGCGGATTTAGAGGGGTGCGAAAGAGCGCTTGCTGCCCAGGCGCCCAAGACTGCAACTTGTTTTCAAGAAAATGGTATCTTGCTGTTAAAATTACCATGCTAGACAGGATACGTGAGACGTGCTCTTCAATTGTCAAATTCTCACAAGGGTAGTTGAACTCATAAGCGCTGCTGAAGCATGTAGTTGCCTCATCGAACCCCGCTCTTCAATTTTTAATCACCTTTCTCATTATAGCCACATGCCGTTTAGCCTTTTTGGTTGCATCTGTTAACATCCATGATTCGACTGCATATAACGTACAACGTGTCCCAGAATAACATGTCAGTTTCTCGTATGCACATAAAACAGAAAAAAATTCCTATAAAAGAACCTTACAGGACTCCCCTACGGAGATACAAGGCTCTGAGGACGCTACTGTTTTTTTTTCAATGAAACTTTGACATATTAGTAACTCACTTAATGGTATTTATAGATAACAGCAATCGCCAGGGACATACTTGTCTAAATGAGTATGAATGCTATCAAGTGAAGCCCCAACTGGTAATGAAGCTTTCAAAATTTCATATATTTATACAGTGCTGTTCAAAATTACTTAGGAAAAACTGTTTCCCTATGGCATTCTTTAGGAGATATGTCCGTAGGGGAGCATCGTAGCACATTGTTTCCAACAAGAGCTTGTACTTAGTATTATTTTGTTGTGTTCTAAGTATATACGAGATACAGACATGTTATTTTGGGACGACAGAAAGATCATTATTATCAGTATGTATCTCTGTACTCGTTGTATTTGCTGCTGGTTAACCTGTCGCTGTGTGCTTGGAATTTGATTTTCACTCATCACCATGTATCTTTTTTTTTTTGACGTTGAACCTATCATGCAGTAACCTCAGCCTTCGAACCTCTCAACACCTGAAAGAAATTTCTTGAGTGAGGATCAAAACCCGTTTGATCAAAGAAAACCACATGTATACTCTCTAGAATACTACTACTATGGATTTGGCGTGATATGCTTCAACCATATCATTAGCACACCTACAGCAACATTGCTTGAGCCCTAATGTAATAAATGTTAATACAAAGAAAGACATGTAGCTTGTTTTTCAAAAATGTTAATCTACTATTCAATGGCTAACTTATTTAAAACTTTCTTTTTTCAACGAACTTTTAGCATGTTTAGTCTTGTTTTGTAATCATTTGTGCCTCTACTGTAATACATCAAACAACAACTTTTTTGAAAAAAGTTTAGGGGAGATGGTTGCGAACTAATCATTATAAGCTTATTTAACGTATAGCCATTTTAGCTAGACTGCAAAGCGATTCGATCCACAAAAGATTTAACGCAATGGAAAATTCCGAAGAAGCTATGTTTATACTTTGAGCATGATTAATGGTAGTTTTCATTTAAGTTCACTCAGTGGTATTGTCTGTAGCACACTTTCCGGAATGAAAATAATGCAATCCCACAAAGAACTATCAATCATCAACAAATGCGGGCTTTGCTTCAGTATCGCTGATAATTTTGTAGCCGGTATCCATTTTCTATACCGCACTTCTATTCCTACTCTTCCCATATCGATTACATTATATAGTTATTCGATTAGTAATATGATGCCGAATATGAGCCAAATGCTTAGTTTTGGATGGATAAGTTGTAATAAGCTTCTAAAAATATTTCGAAAATGAGGCGTTCTTTTAATGTCACTCATTTCCATTTCCATGCTGATCTGTCGGTCTGTCTGTTCGCTAATCCTTGGCCCCACTATAAAAGTACCGGTCGGAATATGGTGGAATTTTGATACGAGGTTACGACTATGCCAAGGACCAAATAACCTTGTAAATCTCGAAATCGATCCAGAGGCTGAAAACAAAATAAATCAAAAGCGTTCAAACTTCGTTTTTTAATGTTTTGAAGGCTCCAGTTCATTTTTGGGAAAAAAATTAAGGGTTAAAAATTGGGGTATTGGATTACTGTTGTAGGATCTGGGAACGGGTATATCTCAACTTTTTGACGCTAGTGTATTTATACGCTTCCTGCACCTGTGATGGTGACATATCTCACAAATCATGGATTTCTCCATACATTTGCATTACAAGGCGGTATAAAACTTATGCCAAAACCGTTGGATGCTCCTTGACTTGAGACTGCTCATCGGATTTTGTTATACGTATATTTGAGATTTAGGAGAAGAATGGTTTAATTATTATGCTGATTTGTCTTTGTCTGTTACAGGTAAGATAGACTTCTAAGAGCTCTTCTACGATTTTTGTAAGTATCTTACGTGCAATGCAAAATTCTAAATATCAATCACTGAGTTTCGTAGCATAAGTCGTAGAAAATGATTTATGTATGTAGTTTTTTTAATCGAAATGTACATTTTTAAAACAGTTTTCTTACACACAGACAGATTCTGAGCGCTCTCTAAGCATTTTCAAGTCAGTACTAGAGTATAAAAAATATTTTTCCAAATGCGGTATTATTAAGAAGAAATCACGTTAAACTTTGATTCAATTAAATACCAGGGACAATTCTGTGAATGAAAGAACAAACGCTATTGAAGGCTACAATACCTAATTGAGGCTTTATTGCGTAGCATAACCCAAACCACCAGTGCATTACCGACCTCTGGTCTGGAACTATGAATGGGTGCGAAAAGTAAGCAATACTTAAAAATAATAGCCCTATGTTCATTTTGTATTACAAATCGATTGACAACTGTATTTACATGTTTCAGGGATTGAAAACATATTAGCTGAAAGTATTATGTTTAAAGTTATATCCTAGGGCAATATTCCGATGAGACAGTAGCAAAATTAAAAGAGACTAGAGATGATGTAATTTATCACAGAATTTCGTAGGTGCCGACGCCAATCAACCCTATATTCTCCACCGGCATCAGGCATGCATGCTCAATTACCGTTTGAAATCGTACATACACGTACACAATATAAAGAGCCGTTTTAACAAATTTTCGGTACTCTCCCTGAAGCCACCAGCTTTGCTAGTTCTACGTGCCAGTCCATAGAGCTTACAAACGTATACAAAGACATCTACGGCTTCCTCTCTTATTGTGATGAATGGCGTTAGAAGATCAAGACTATGAGCGTGTTCATCAGAGCATAGCGCTACTGGAGCAGTTACTTTACTGACTACATTCAATACTAGTAGTACACATTTTACTACTTTCACACATACACGCAAAATGCTTGCTTGCTTTTAACAAAACAGCGCTTATCAAACGATTACCTTTTCAAGGCAGTAAATATACAGGGTGGTGCATCGAAAACGAAACAGACGCATTTACTGGCAGCTCATTTTTTTTTTGAAAAATGCTCAGACCCGTCGATTTTGTTTTCGAGGGGGCAAAACTTTGGCAAAAAATCACGTTAGCACATGCAGCCTCCTAAGCGGGGGTGACACCACCCCCAAAATCTTAAATGGGAAGGGGGGTCGAGTGATACCTTATTTTAAAGGTCTTTCATATCCTTTATAATGATATAAAATGAATGTACTTCAGTTCAGTAGTTTTGAAGATTTATTGATTTAAAGCTTAAATAAAACTAATACATCATCATTAGTGAAGAACAACAAATTTGGCAGCAAATTAATTTAAAAATGTAGAATGAACTGACCCGTTAGGCAAGTAAATGTTCAAAATGTCCACCATGCAATAATAAAGATTTTGCTCAAAACGTTGCCTCACATTTTGCAATATCTGAGGAGTAATTTGAAGGCACTCATTCACAATTATTTGCCGCAGGTCTTCTAATGATGTTGGCTCAGTAGCATAGATTTTGCTTTTTAAATGATCCCACATAAAGAAATCCAAAGGTGATAAATCTGGCGATCTTTTGGGCCATTTAATGGCACCTCTTCTACCAATCCATCGATCTGGAAACGTCTGATCTAAATATTGTCGGACACGTAATGCGTAATGTGGTGGGGCACCATCCTGTTGGAATATCAACCTATTCGCAATGTACCGCCGATCATTCTGATTTTCAATTATGGCTGTTAATACAGGATCTATGGCGTCTTCCAGTAATTCCAAATACATTTCACCGGTCAAATTTACAGGTAAGAGAAAAGGACCAACTAAATGATCGCCAAAGATATCAGCCCAACATTTAATTTTTGTGGCTGCTGTGTATGAACCTCATGATAAATTCTGGGATTAGAATATTTACCAATATCGGCAGTTATGACGATTTACTACGCCATTTAAGAAAAAGGAAAATTCGTCGGAAAAGCAAGTGTTGAATAGAAAATGTTCATCGTTTATAATTCGTTCACTCATATCTTCATAAAATTGTAATCGCCGATCAAAATCGTCTTCATTAAGTTCTTGTACCAGGTGAATTTTATATGGATGAAAACTATTGGCCTTTAGACTTTAGACGTCGACTAACACCACACACAGTCTCCAATTTGCGGGTACTTGACTTAGGACCTACATAAACTTGCGCTAAAACCCCCACTTCTATTGCTTCGTTCCTTATGGGATTTTCAATGTTGCGTTTTTTATTGGCGACTGACCCAGTTTCCAGAAATTTAGCTACAAGTTCTAGAACATATTTTCGATGCACGTTACTGTTCTCATGTCGATCATTAAATATTTCTGCTGTTCTATTAGCACACTGATTATTTCCGAAAAATATTTCGATAATTTCAACTCTTTCTGCTGTGGAATATACCATGGTTAATGTATGTAATAAAGCGTTACAAGTTATTTTAGCAAGAAAGTTTGGTCAAATCAATCGCAAACTATGTACTAAATTCCTATGTAAAATAAGTACGAGATATTTCCTTATCTTTCTTCAAGAAATAACTTTTTTACTACAAAAAAACGCTCCAATAGCTATTTTCAATAACAAAATGATAAACAAACCATGGGCGTAGTGAAAAAAAGCATTTACTTATTAAGTAAATTCTTTTAGTCAAATTTCTTCTGAAAGTAGTGAAAACTAATCTGATGTACCTATTAAAGTCTACTTTAAGCTTTAAATCAATAAATCTTCAAAACTACTGAACTGAAGCACATGTATTTTACATCATTATAAATGGAATTGAAAGACCTTTAAAATAAGGTATCACTCGACCCCCCGTTCCATTTAAGATTTTAGGGTTGGTGTCACCCCCGCCCAGGGGGCTGCACGCGTTAACGTGATTTTTTGCCAAACTTGTGTCCCCCTCGAAAACAAAATCGACGGGTCTGGGCGTTTTTTAAAAAAAAAACTGAGCTGCCAGTAAATGCGTCTGTTTCGTTTTCGATGCGCCACCCTGTATATCTTTCTTGAAGAAACAATTATTAGTCCGGAATTATAATTATGTACCACGAAAACTGTTCATCTACAAGTACGCTAACAGACCCACGTTATGCCATACACCTTTGAACATTCGGATAAAATAAATAAAAAGTACGAACAGACGTTGATTAGGCCAAAAATGTTTCATTTGCAACAATTTTCATGAGTCGAAGGTAAATGAAATGCCTGGATTCCTTCCGAGAATCATCAAACTGCATCCGTACGAGGTGCATAGATACCGGAAAATATTATACCTATTGACTTTCGTCTTGAGGATATGTCGCCGGGTGTAATTCTATACATTTTGCATTCAATTTAGATGGTCTTTCTTCAAGATCTTTGTATTAGGGTAAAGTTGAGTGAATTGTACCATTTAGCATATTTTATTAAATAAACCGTTAATGACTTATTTCAATTGAATGATACTGTAAAGTAAGATATTTTACATACTTTTTCTCAACATTCACATTAAAAAAAACTTATGTATAGTTCTTTCCATGATTTTTGGTTGTTACGTCACCATTACTTACGATTGTATCAATTGTACCATGTGCGAATCCTAACGCTACGGTAAATCACACACTACACCAGCCGATCCTCAATGTAGCTGCTACGCGCTCTTGTACACACACACATGAATTGGTTAATAGAAGACTGTTGTTTGCGTTCACTTCTCCAAAATAGTTCAGTAAGTTTAACTTAGACTGTCCACATTGTAGTTGTATCTTCATGCCTTGCTATGATTTATATCGACAATCAACAAAAGGTAAGCTAAGCGCTTAGGATATTGAACTTTTTGAAACGATGTCTAAAAATGTTCCAAGATGGCCCCTCGCTGCCATCTAGAAATTTTCAACCGATACTTTCAGACACTCTGACGTCAAAATATACTATTCATGATTCAATTTCATCAGCCTGAAAGTCACATTCCTAACTTAGCCGTTCAAAACATAGAGAACTCTTCTGGAAAGCACTGTATGAGAAAATAGAAACATATGCCTCTTTTACGCCGCTTTAGTTCTATAGACCAAGCTGACTAGCCAAAAATCGACCCTGTATCAGAAAAAATTGTAATAAGCCGTTTTACAGCAGAATCATATTCTTGAGGGTATATAAACAGGCTCCATGGACAGGTACAAAAAGATTTGCCGGATAACTCTTTTATTATCTCAAATAGTTTTGAATTATTGGTGTAAATAATCAAAAAAAATGTACTGGATGAAAATACCTTCAAAATGAGACCTTACACTGCCAATTTGCTGTCACTGTTAATTTGTTATTATTAAAGGTCAAAAAATGTCGATTTCTATATTTATTTTTTTCTTGAAAATGCATAACAGTAAATCTGAAATAACGTCCAAAAGTTGAAGCTTTTGTGTCGCTCAACATCCAGAAAAAATTCATTCAAAAACACTCTGCCGTTCCTACAATTTTCTGTTTGTTACCTTTTTATTATCAAAAAATGGCCTTTTTTGATGATTTTAATATTTATAAGGCAAAAGTCGGGGTACTTGGCGACGCTTTCTTACATGGTTAGTATGAAGAAATCTAATATATCTTTTAATAAGGTATTTAACTATGTCTCTGGCAACAGAATACGCCCAATGTGAGTCCATATGATTGATCCACAGACGCTGGACAGCTCATCAAAGAAGGCTACTTTTCTAAAAAAAAAAATCGTTCACAATTAGAAAATTGCGGAAACGGTTGAGTATTTCTGAATAATTTTTTTCTGGATGTTCAGCGCCTCAAAAACTCCAACTTTTGATTGTTATTCTAGATTTACCGTAATGTATTTTCCAGTAAAATGATAAATGTAGAAATCGATGATTTAAGACTTTTTTTGTAATAACAAATTACGACAAGCTGTCCATGTAAGGTTTTATTTTGCCTGTATTTTCATTCGCAAGCACTTTTTGTATCACTTACACTAATACTTCATAAATATTGGTATATACGCTAAAAAGTGCTTTTT